CCTCCTCATAGCCACTAATGAAAACACAGCAACAGTTGTAATGCTTTTAGACCTGAGTGCTGCATTCGACACAGTTGACCATATCAAACTGATCAATATATTGAAGTGTGAGATTGGGATTTTGGGAACAGCCTTGAAATGGTTCACCAGCTTCATCCGTGGTCGTTGTCAAAAAGTCAAGATAGGTGACCTAGAATCTGAAGAAATTGTAATAAAGTTTGGTGTCCCACAGGGCTCTGTCCATGGCCCTGTGTTGTTCAATATCTACATCCGCTCAATTTACTCTTCTGTAAAATCAAAGCAATTTCTGATCCATGGCTATGCTGATGATCACCAGATCTACAAGTCATTTTCATCCGCTACAGAATATCAAGTCCTCAGCGAAGACCTGCCCTCCTGTTTTAGAGAAATCGAGACCTGGATGACGAATCACTTCCTTCTTCTGAATCCAACTAAAACTGAAATTATAGTTTTTGGTTCAAAACGTTTATTGTCAGAATTAGAAATTGGTGGTGTCTTCCTAAAATCTTCTGTCTGTATAAGACTTGTTAACGTTACCAAAAACCTTGGCTTTACATTGGATTCCTCTCTGACTCTAAATCCTCAGATAAAGAAGCTTAAAGCTGCAAACTGCCACAAGATGCGGAATATTGCAAAGATGAAACCATTCCTCTCTGAAGATCAAATGCAAATCATCGTACAATCTCTTGTTATTAGTTCGCTTGACTACTGCAATGCACTTTACTATGGTACTAATCATTCTGTTTTGAAACAGCTACAATCTCTGCAAAACAGAGCATGTCGCTTAGAGGAGAGAAGAAGTTGAGCCCTACATAAAAGAACTTCATCGGCTCAAGGTAAAAGAACGTATTGAATTTAAAATACTCCTGCTAACTTTCAAACTGCTCCATGGACTAGCACCTTCATACCTGTCAAACCTTGTCAAGCACAATCCCAGTGGTGGCAGAGATGTGTCTCTTCATTGCCCTATAAACAGTCCACCAAGAGCCTTCTCTTCATCTGCTCCAAGATTATGGAACAACCTTCCTCAAGAAATCAGGAAATGTGTAAACATCAATGACTTTAAGGGAAAACTAAAAGCTCATCTGTTTAGAAAGTCCTTTGATATGTACTGAGTAAATAATACATTATCAGAAGATTTTTAAAATCTTCATCTTATAGCAGGTCAATTTTACGCTTTAAATTAAATTATTTTAGGCTACTAATTTTTCAGGATTTTCGGGCAACATTCGAGATATTATTCTTTTCCGTGTTTCACTGTGTCTGCCAACAAAATTTTAGAGTAGGTCAGAAAAGGAGGCTCTATCCCGGGACACCAACATTTTTTGGGTTGGCACCCAGGAGAAAGCTGCCTTATTCTTTGTATTTTGTCTCAAGTATTTTAGCATCTTCTTCCACTCTGTTTATTTCACCGTCTCTAGACTTGTATGTTGCCCAGATAATTTGACATGACTGTATTGGATTTTCTGTAACATCAGTTACTGTTCTGCAGTAAGCTTTTTTAATAATTTTGTATTGTATATTGAAGTATTCAGATTGTTTGTATATTTGGAGTTATATATATTTGGAGTCTCATACATAGATTTCTTGTGGTCATCATCTATTTTTCATATGTTTTGTTAGAAAACCTGCTAACCTTTCTTGGATATCTTCTTGTTAAAGGTGTTTCTGCCTTATTTAGTCAGGATTTAACTTGTAGCTATAAACTTCCGTTTTTAATTCCAGTCCAAGGCGAGATGCACGATCTCTACTGTCATTTAGGTATCATTTACAGCTGAGCATAAGGGTTAAATTTAAATTATTTAACCTTTTGGTGCTGTATCAAAATAACATTAATTTATTATTATTATTATTATGGCATAATGGGTGGGCTCACAATTGAAGAAATAAAGTATTCAAACAATATACACATAATATCACAATGACCCTATTATATATAAAATCAAACCTTCAATGTTCAAAGATTCAGTATATTCCCCACCTGAAATAGGGGGGTTGGCTCACAATTCAAAAGTTAATAATTAGAACTCAGAAGTTAAACAGCTCAAGCTGCGCTGTGTTTTGCTGTCGAGATGTGTAGTGAAGTTGGTAGACTCGGGGCTCACAGACGTAAGCTCCTACACCACCTGGAGGTTGACCTCTGGAAGCGTTTCATCTTGCTGGAGTCGTATGATGATATTCTCCATTTGAGAGAACTTGCTAGTGACCGTGGTTATTGGACTAAAATTGTTCAATTTTATACTTGAGTACAATTCAATTTGACTTTTGGGACATATAATTTTACAAAGGATCACGTTTCGGTTCTAAATTATTTTAGGATTGTTGACATTTGTAAGATTGACATGTTTGATAATTAGTTAAACATCTAAATTGAATGAATTATAAATCATACCACATACACACTCGTATTTATATACACACTCTACTCGTACTACAAACAGACAAAAATGTCTTATGTATATTATCAATAATTCAGTCAATACATATCATAAATTTTATTACCTGGGGACCTCAGGCTATCATGTTTATAAACATAGCTATCATGTTTATAAACATAGAGATTAGGCGGAATGACAGGCTGAGCGCGGTCCAGTAAAAATTGTAATATTGGAACATGGAAACCACCACATCATAGTTAGGGTAAAATATTATTCTTAAATTTTAGCAAAAGCTGATTAATTTTTAAACAGTTGGTTATTAAAACTTTTAAATAATGTATTGTATCACGTGGTGACCCCCACTGTCGCTTCGCTATAGAGTTTCGACTATAGAGTTTCGACGATAGAGTTAATTGACGATGTCAATTCATTTCAGCTCGGCGCGGCACAGTAGCGCATCTCGCTCAGAGAAGCCTCATTGAGTGCGCGGCGCGGCACAGTAACGCATTGCGCTACAGATAGAGTTTCGACGATACAGGGGAGCCGCGCACTCGTGCGCGGCGGGTCATACAACGTATTGATTAATAAAATTAAATTTGATAAATTATTAACAATTAATGTTGATGGGAAAAATATTTATTTAAATTATTTTTCTATTTAGTGGAATGTTACTGGGCCGCGCTCAGCCTGTCATTCCGCCAAATCTTTATTTATGTTAATGAACATAATAGCCTGGGGGCTTGTAGCGCGATGCGCTACTGTGCCGCGCCGAGCTGCCATGAATTGACATCGTCAATTAACCTGGGGTCCTCAGGTAAGTGGAATGATATTTAGTAAACACGTGTGATGATGTTATGTCATAATCTTTAGCTTTACTTACTTACTTACAGTTTATGATTGGAGGACATCGCCGCTTCGACGCGCCGCGCAAACTAGCATTCTTGCTTTGCATCGAAGCAAAGCAACGATTTCAATAAGTTGACATCGTCAATAAAACAAACATCTCACCAATATAAAAGCATGCAACATCCATGCATATACTTGTCTTGATTCACGATGTCAATCCTTCGCATCTCGCCGATCTGCATCTGTGGTTGCGAGAAGCATTATTGGATGCGCGCGCGCGACCCAGTAGTGCATCGCGCTACAAATACTTGTCATGTCTTGTGTAATTGTTTCGTAGCACTTGTCTCGGGCTATTATTTTGAAAAAAAGCGGCGCGCTACTGTGAAGAAATTTGGACAAGTAACATCCGTCAAGCATATTGATATACTTACAAATATTTTTTAATTTTCAGATTCTGGCTTCGCAGGCTTATGCTCGGTTGCTCTATCCAGAGCCCTTGCGCTTGCATGCAGTGGCGGGCGCCCGCCTCTAGCTCCCGGCTTTTGAAACAAGCACGCCTGCAGCGGCGCGAAAGCACACGCAACACGGAAACACGGTTAGGTGAATATGCTCGGTAATATTGAATATTTCGATATTACCGCGTGAAGTCACGAAGTGGCGGCCGGCCAAAATGGTATACAACGTATACCAAGCGACGACGTCCAGCAAGCCTAGTATATATTAAAGTATATATATATGACAGCTCTTAGTCTTACTAATTCGCTCGCCCAAACCATGCCTACAATGAAAACTGTTGCGCGTTTCCTAACACCTAATGATTATGACCATTGTTCTAAATATAATTTAGAGTATTATTTGAGTTTTGTAGATTTAGCTTGAGACGCAATAACAAATAAATGATAAAGCAGTAATAACGATAAAGCCCGACGTCCGAGTCGTTGGCAATGCTCATGTTCACAATGACACAATATACACAAGAAACAGTGCTGTCTAGCAGGAGTTTTACTTTTAGTCCTAAATTAACACATAAACGTGTCTTTACTAACTGTATTACTGTAAGTATAACATTTATTACATGTTGATGTATAACATGTACGTAAACACAATCAGTAGCTTGCTCGAGGCAAAGAATCAATGACAAATGACTTTGATTCTCATCCAGCTACTGTGTCGTCCATAAATCTCATCAGGTTTCAATGTTATACTTATTATACTTATGGTGGAGAGCAGTCCCTACAATATCGGGTGAGCGCACTATCAATTTGAGGATACGGTAAGATTGCACGTGATTTTGCTTTAAAAAATAGTTAAGAATTGAAACGCAAGAATTTTCCAAATCATGAGAAATATAGTACAAAAATTGTAAACTGAACTTGAAGTTACATAATGAAAATCATAATTTCACGGCGAAGAACGTTTTAAATCTATATGTTCTATATGCTCTATGTGGAAAGAAATTGTCCATCGAAAGGAAAATGCTGCATGCAAATTTAAATCTAGTAATATCAGAACATACCTCAACAGAGTGCTCAATACAGTGCTAATGAGGAATTTGAAAATGAAACTGGTTTATACAGGTGGTAAACTAGAAGTTGGACTGACTTCACAGTCCGAAAGTAGAAAATAGAGACAATAAAAATAAATAAACAATTCTCCTTGTAGCTCTTTTTCTATTTAGTTCAACATTCATTAGTATTACCTAAACGGTTCAAAATCAAAACCTCAACATCAAAGTTTTTGGCAATCATTTAAAAATGGTTTGTATAACTACTATAAAAATAATTGAATCAGAGTATAATAATTAAAAAACTTCAATGAACACAGATCATTCAACACAGCAGTCAGATGTTTTTACACGATCAATTGAGAAATCACACGCACCTTCTTCTAAGTCTATACAGTTTTGCTGGCTGGTAGAAATGCATCTCTTTATCTTGCTAATATTGCTATTCGAATAAAAAACAGTAAGTCCCACTAAACTATGTCAAAGTTTTAAACAATGTTCCTGACTGCTAATGGGTTCAGATAAGGACAGGGTCCCAGATACTCCGAATATTTGTACCTATCTTGAAATCCTCTGATAAGTATTTACACACTTTATACTTGCTGATATCAGGCCACATCAACTAGTTTCTAGTAAAAGCATAGTAACTAATAAATGTTAGTTCTATCCAAACTGTGAGGACGGGTGTGAGAGGAGAGAGGAGCTCTATATGACAACAAAAACTGTTTTCTAGGAGTTACGACGACGAGCTGGTTGCCACTGACGACAGCGACGAAACGGATACAGGTCGGGCGGGGCGGGGCTGATCTTTGGGTTCACGTTCCAGACTGATGTCGTAGAACGAGGCGCAGGGAATTGTCGGCAGGCGACGACAGAAGATAAGGAGGTCGTCTTCTGTTTGGATGTGATTCTGTGGCTTTATCATCTTGAATCTTTCTAGTTCAGATATCTGAAAGATAGGACTGGTTAAATTGATTCAAGCGAGGACGTTTATTAGTTTGAACTAAAAAATTGGGAAGTAATGGAATTTATAATGTTGTTTTAATGGATCTAGAACCTAAGTAACACATACAATATAAAATATTTAGTAAATGAAAATTATACACAGTTCGCACACACCTTATTTTTGATTAAACGAAGTTTTCCAAAGTTCCATAAACCATTCCTCAGCTTGGGAGAGTTGACATTCAGGAACTCAATATCTCTGAGAATAAGAGACAGCAACGGAATCGTGCACACAGTCTTGGGCACTTTTCCCAAATACTTCCTATACTGACCAAAGTTATCGACATTAGACATGAATTCTTCAAGATCGTTCAAACTGGTCTGAGAGCTGGACTTAACGTGGTCCCAAGTTTTCTTCAGACGCATGACACTGCTATGATTGAATCCCGTCACAAAAGCGTACAAGGTATTGAAGCTGAAAAGTTGTTTGAGCTGCTTGGCGATATCTATAAGACGCTCGATCTTTACAGCACGTTGTCGTGGGTTTTCGTCGCGCAGAATCTCGGATGTGACCCAGGCGGAGATACTGTTCCAGTGATGGATCCAGTTGTCCAGATGTTGGGTCAGGAGGTGGTATTTTGGATCCTCTGGGGGAGATAAGAGATAAGATAAGAGATAAGAGGGAGAGATAAGATACGAGATAAGAGGGAGAGATAGAGTGAAGTGAAAAGTAGGAGATTTTGAAGCCATACAGAATTGAAGTGAAATTGGCACATTTTAAAGTGAAAACGAAGCCTATTTTATCAAGGCTGAACTTACTCTTTCTGCAGAAGTAGGTGAAATATTCATGGATTTCCACTTTTGACATCAGATCAAAGTCGACGCAGTGCAGCTGAAAAATATAACTATCAATGCTTGAAAAATATTAAAATGCATTTATCTTAACAAATATAGCAAGATATCAAGAAACTCAACTTTCTGTCATAGTTCAATATGACCAAGCGCCAACATAGTGCACACTAAACACTAAGAATGCATCAAGAGTCGTTTTAATCAATTAAATCAAGGGCTTTGCAGATGGCATACTGTACCTACTTGTTCGAGGATTTCGTCGCCAAAATTTGAAAATTCGAATATTTTAAAATCAATTAATTACCAATCGATTATAGTAATTACTCACATGTCTAGCAAACTGTCCGGATGTGGTCTCCATCAGCGATATCGGTTTTCTCTTCTTGTTCGACTTGGTATCCTGATTCTTGGAGTCAGAGTTGGAGCGTCTCATAGCAACTGGAGACTCAGCAGGAGAGGGGCACCCTGATCCTGGTAGAGAGCCTGACTGACGGTCCTCTTCTCTTAGAGACTCTTCCCATTCTCTTTTCTGAGGAGGGAAATTTGGTGAGGAAATCGATTTTCGTGTTTTTAATGAAGTATAAGGTTGTACTTCCAGTCAAACGATCAAAACACGATTTAACTATAATTAAACAAAGGCATCTTGATCTAAATATTTTTAAAACAAACCTTTTTCTGCATGGTATTCTCCAACTTCATAGCGACGGGCAGGAACCTGGGGTGTCCTGATGAAACCAGCTGGACAAACTTATCCACCTTCTCTATCATCACATCACTGTAATGGAAGTCCACCCAAACCCTCTCTAGCCACTGCGCTACAATATTACTCAGCCTCAACTTAACCATATCCCCCTGCTCCTCCTCGTAACTCTCGCTGTCCACAAACTTCTGGAGGAGCATGTCCATAAGCTCCTCACTCTGCATGAAGAGCTTGTAACCCAAGAGGAATGTTTGAATATAGTCAGCGTCCGGGCAAGTTCCGCAGTAGAGCTGCTCGACCAGTTGTTCCAGGGTTCCTCCCTCGATTGTGTAGCCGTCCTTTTCGTAGGAAAATATCATGAGTAGGAGCGGGTTGCCGTCATCTGTGGAATAATGGTGGTGAGGTGGGGTCAAGAAATGTTACTGTAATATTATGTATATTATTTAAGTAATAGAGATATTCTATTAATTGTAAATAGCGCAGACGATTTGTACAGTTTAAGAATATTGGGAATATTAGCCTCTGATAAAGCAGGATGAAAGAAGTTGTTTTAGTTTACGTATCCGTATTTATTTTGTTCAGGCTACTTATCAAATCTTAAAGATGTTCATTGACATTTGACGTCCTATTTTTATTTCGAATAAATTAATTAATATATAATAAAAGAGCATAATTATATATATGATAGACATTAGACATAGTGTAGATCTAAGTGTTACTCGGATAGTAGGGAATAATAAGCGGTATTGATATATTCCGGCCACGAACCAGTTTACTCAAGAGCATTATTCAGTAAGTTTGTTAAAGTTATAGTGTTATACGTTTCCTTGGAATTTACATTCCACACTCACGAGAAAAATATTCTATTATTCTGTACCGGCAATCGGTATGGATAGTTTGCGTGAAAAATGCGCTTGAACACTCAATATTCCTCTCGATTAAAACCTCATCTAGACAAGTATAATACGTTTCTCATTCCAAGCTTCCAAACTTACCGTCCTTAGTGATGAAAGGGCTATACTTCTCATCCTCAGACATCTTATCGTGGTCTGCAGTGCTCTTCTGGTTGAGGAACTTGAAGGTTCTCTGTACGAGAGTTGAGTGATCTCCGGCACTGCCGTTTTGACTATGAACGATCTGCGGGGCATGGTCCGAGCCAGGGAGGCCGGAAGATACGTTTGGTGTGTAGAACTTGGCTATCTCTACCTCGGACTGGAGAGGTGGAGGGGGGTTAGCACGTGACCAGATAACATGTGACCAGATAACATGTGACCAGATAACATGTGACCAGATAACTGTCCAATCACAGTAATTAGATATAACATCGCCATGATACATATTAAAAAAGCGATCACTGTCACATACCATAAATATGATTGTGCGATGAAATTGGATTGGTGAGAATTCTCTAGAATCTCGATAACCGCTTGCATTGGTACGTGGTCAGGAGCACAGAGTAGAGCCACGTGCCAGTTAAAGTGCCCAGTAACTGTGCCAGTTAAAGTGCCCAGTAACTGTGCCAGTTAAAGTGCCCAGTAACTGTGCCAGTAAACTACGAACCTGATTTGCTGAGTTGGGGTGTTCTCGTGGGGCCTCTGTACTGTTGCTGTTCTCGGTGTTACTAGATGGCGGTGTATTGCATTTGGGCGTCTTAGGCGTCAGATGAGTCGATTCTTCTGAAAGAGAATTACTGTTAAGCGGGATAAGTTGAGATTTTAAGTTGTTAAATTCATGCTTCAGAAAAACAAAGGTGCAGTAAACAAAGGAATCACCATAAATGTAAACGAGTTTTAACTTTAAGAATACTGTTCAATGAAGCAGGACATAATAACGCCTTTCACTGAACACCAATACCCTAGTACCCCAGCCTGAGACCCCTACCCCAGTAAACCCCAGTAAACCCCAGTATACCCCAGTAAACCCCAGTATACCCCAGTAAACCCCAGTATTTCCCCAGGTTATTACCTCCGATACTTCCTAAACTATCTCTCAGCTTCCTCCTGATACCACCCCCACGCTTTAGATTACCAGCCGAATCCTTCCTCGCGTTTTCCTCCCGGTCCTTATTATATGTGAAGGGCCAAAAGAAGATGAGAAAGGGGTCTCCTCCGTGTAACCATGAGACAATGAGGAGAGGAAGAGAGCAGAGGGTAAGCACGAGGAGGAGGAGGACGTTGGAGTGGAAGAGATGTCCTAGCACCAGGGCTATCATTACCCGGGACAGGTCGTGCAGCACGCCCGGGTAGAGTAGCTCGGTGAGGGGAGGGAGCATTCTACTACTCTGGAGTGGTGGAGTGAAAGTCACGTGACTCTTTTCACAAGTTGGGCTCGTCTGAGAGCTGTGACCGAGGTAAAGAAAGAAAAACATTCGAATGAAATGACAGTCAAATAAACACGTACAAGCGACTTAATTGCAGATTTAAACAGATGACAAGGCTAGCTCCAAATATTTGACCAAATATCCACCAAAAATGGAAGATCTATCAAAGACGGAAGATGTCACTGGAAACCTTACACATGGACTCATGATTTCATCATCTACTTCACAAACAAACGGTACCAGTCGAGAACATCGTGACGATCCCGTTTTGTATCCGTCTATCTATACCACGTATGTACCAGATAAGAAGCATCATGCAGTTACTATTTATAGCTTTAAACACTGAGAAGAGGTGATGCGTCATCGCATTAAGATGCTATATTTGATAAGTTATTAACTATTTGGCACGTTTTGACTCATCAACTATTTCTGGTATCGGTCATGGACAATTCAAAGGAAAAGCCGGCTTATCACTCACATTTAGTCGCAAGAGCGCTTCCCTTAATATTAAATCTATTTATATTCATAATCTATATTGGCCATTATTATTTGAGTAACCGCACAGAAAATCTTATAATCCTATCTCCAGAAAAATCAGCGTACCTACGCAGGATCACACCTTCACACATACGCGACACGCGGCGTACGGCTAGAACAAAAAATAAAAAGGCGGTGTAGAGAACTTGGTTTAGCGAGACCCCTCGAGGACATATTACTTAATATTACTTTATAATGTGTCAAGGTTGAAACCTTATAAAACTATATTATACATCCAACAACATATTATATATATATATATATATAATATACTGAGAGTTAATGTAGTGCCATACCGAGGAGATGCCCACATATGGCAGTGCTTCAGATAATAATGTGTCAAGTGGGAAGAGAGAGAGAGACTGGAGCAATTTGTACGTGAGATTGTACAGCGAGACAGAGGAGGAAAGTAACACACAGACGGTTTCTGCTAAAAACGGGTCATTGGAAATGAGTTAGCGGTAGTTATGATTTAATAACTTTGATTAGTAGCAGTTAGACGTGTAATTTCTGCTGAGGTAGAAACTCGCTCGCAGAGACAACTTGCAAAACTTTTAGTGCTATACGACGAGACTACACTGAGACGAAAAGGAGGACACGCTGACGAATGGTGGGGATGTAAGAGAAGACTTTCAAATGAGGAGGAATACAGAAAAAGGTGTTTTAAACATGACGAGTAGACGACAGAACACACTGAAAGTAGTTCTCCACGTTTTAAATTTGTGTGCCGCAAACATGGCCTAAATCCAAGAAACATGACGTACATCCAAGAAACATAACCCAACAATTCTACAAAGGATCAACACTCAACATCGTCAAACCAATAAACACATACTTTGAAAAGAGAAAACTCAAACCAAACAAAGAATAAACTTTTTTGTAAGCCCTCTAAAATTGCATCATTAAACTTGGAAGATTTGACACTCAAGTGTAATATTAATAGTCACATGACGACGAAAATAACGCCAAGAATGGAGACTATCTAAGATCGGAGGGACGGCAATAAAAAGTCGCAGATTATATAAGCCTCTATATAAAGAAGAGAAGGGGAATAAGTTATTTTTGAGATCTGATCAAATGTTCGAATATGGGATAATGAAAGGTTGAAAAGAAGGGGCTTTCTGGGAGTGCGAAGTGTACGCGTACTGCTATGTGCGTATGAGGACATCTAACAAACCCTCTGCTAGGAAAACACTCCCAAGAATGTAAAACACTCCCAAGAGTGTTACAAAATGCGGATGTGAATCAGGATATTTATCAGATTTCTCACAGTATGCTTTTATCCAATTTTATCCTTTATAACGCACCCTCTTCCACGAAAATCCAGATGTGAGTTCTCACATTGAACAAACACATAACAGGTCAAAACACGAAGCAATTATAATTATCTGTTTATGGCATGCGTTAATTGAAGGGCTCAATATTAATTAGGCACACAAATAGACCGGTGATATAACCCGTTCAGGCGTAGCAGGTAATTATGGTTGTTTGAAAATTAGCAGTGAGAATAACGAAAGTTCAAATTGCTCAGATTCAACCGACTCATGTACTATTTTTGAGGGGCGAGGCTCGCAATCGGCTCATAATTGCGATCTCAAACTTTATAAAATAACCTGTAAAGTAAGTTCATGAAGTATGCCTTATATGGAGAGATGGGTTGAACAAAGAGAAATATGAGCTAAATTGAGGAGTGCTGGATGACTTCGAGAGGGTTGGGTGCAGCTCTGCTAGGAGAATAATACCAATTTTAAATCTTATAACATTGCATGCCTGAGCGTATAGTTAGATCCTCCAAAGGTTCATCACATTATCTGGAGGATTGAATGGGTTGTGCACCACTTTGTAGATACGAAGGAGCTTATAGACAGTGCAACTACAATGAATCCGACCTGAATCCGGCCGATTTCTTTTTGTGGGGCTATCTGAAAGAACGTGTCAATTCAGACCCAGTCCCACAAACAGTAGATGAGCTAAAAAACAATATCAGAAGGGAGGCTAAAAAGTTAAAAATTGACATGGTAAAACGTGCAATAGACAATATGCTTCCGAGGGTTCAAAACCTTCTATGCAGAAAGGGGGCTTGGTTCGAAAAATTGTTAAAATATTAGATTTATTTTTGTTATGTATTTTGAAATGTAATAATTTGTCTACAATTTAAAACACAAATTAGACCGTTTGTCTCATTTTTTAGATTTTGAGAGCCATTCAAAATTTGGACACGAGTCTTGCAACACCCTGTAGAGATGAAAATGAATTAAGATGAGATTGAAGAGTGGTTAATGAGATGAAATGAATGCATTTATATAAGAGATGTTGTTATAAAGGAGCAATATCGTTAGGCACGTTCGTGAGATGAACTGTGACGAAATTGCCAGCCAATAACATTAAAGGATCTAGGCTAGAAGGGTTGCTACTGTTGCAAAAGTGATCAGTTGGCATAATGAAGTAACTAGCGATGATAGTAGAGTTGTAACTTTGTAAGGGATATACACCTGCAGCTGGCCTGACAGACTCAACACAGAATATTACAGAAACTGATCCAGTTTAAGTTTTACATGAAATGAATATTGGCTTCTCCTTCACACCCCTCATAGAGCTACAGAATTACTGAAGGATAAGAGACAACTTGAGCTGTTCGGCTGGTATTCAACATTATATACTACTAATTATCCAGGCTGAATATCACTGTTACTTTGAGGAAAAATACTGATATATTTAAGGGTATTTTTTTCAGAAAAAAATTCGTTCGAAAATCATCGAAACTGGATGTCAGGTCACGGAGAATGAAGTTGATCCACGAAGGATTATTAGAAAATGTAGGTCCTAGAAGACTACTTGAATTGACTGAAAATGACTGAAATTGACCATATTCGTATAAAGTACATGTGAATATTGAACTTTAGAAACCATAATCATCCTCGTTAACAATTCAGATAGTGGTAGTGGTAGTTCGTAGTGCTACTTCGTAGTGGTAGTGGTAGTTAGTAGTGGTAGTGGTGGCGTAGGGATACAAGTCATGGAAGTAGTTAAATAATCTTAACAACGTTTACTGGATCCCAACCATCTAGTTAAAATAACGCATAAAACTCAGTGAAAGGCAACCAATTAATCTTATCTCCTTGACCAGAAAATTTCTCTAGCCTTTAAATCGCAGACACATAATAAGCTAACATCCTTCTGTTTACGTCAGATAAATCAAAAACGCACGCCCCAAGAGAAAATGACTTACTATAAGGCTTCAGTTGATTAACTACTATGAGTAGACAGTTTAGGTAGTTTAAAGCTTGCATCCAAACATTGACAAGCAGCACTTTTATAAGCTGTTAAACTATCTAGTTTATAGAGGCCCTCCCAGGGCGGTCCTACATTATATACTGAACACTTCCTCTATCAAGTGGAGCTCCGCAGATGTTGCAGTTGGGTCTATAAACTGTAATTAAGTTTAGGGGTCAAACCTGCGACCTTGAGGTGCAACTACCACAGCCACCATGCTAGTAATTTACAGAGTGGCGCTAAAAGGTTGCCAGCACAGGGTAGACCTTTAAGGTTATTAATAGATTATGGTAGGTTTAATGCTCACTACAGCGCTAAGGTTACTTAAAATATTAGGTTATTTGCACAGTAAAAAGATGAACGAGACCCAAACTTACCAATCTTTTTAGAGAAAGACCAACGCTTGCTTTTCCTCTGCGACTTAACACGGACAAATGGAAGCGTAGTAAACGTGGAAACTTCAAAAATCATAAGCTCAACTACAAGGTGGGAATTGCAAGGATGAGAATTACAGTAATGCACGACAACCGATTAAGAAGCTATGATTGATCTGAGAGCGGTTCTCTGATGACGGGACCAACAGCTTGGATTACAGGAGTTTGTTCAGGGTTTGGGTTTCCTGGTGGTGTGGCCCAGGGGGGTAGGAACGTGGGATTTGGATACCAGGTCCGGTGTCAAAATATGGGAATTAGTTGTAAATGTGAGGGGAATAGCTACCATTCAGGAAGTGATGGGTCATGTCATTCGTGGTTAATGCTTCGCTAATTGTCTTGGGAAAAAATTAGATTAGTTTGATTTATCGTAGGGCTTGGTCGTAAACAAAATTGATCTTATTATTATATGTTGATTAAAATTATGACGTAGAATTTCACATTTAGTTTTTAAAGAAATTGCAACATTTTTTTCAAATATTGGTCTGGGAGCGGATGAATGATAATTCACTTGTTCTAAGCATATGTGGAAATATTAAAGGTGCGAAAATTATGCCAAAAATAAAGATCATTGACCGTTAGAGATAAGTCAAATAATATCTAATATTTAATTAGTTAATTAGTTTAATTAGTTATTGAAGGGATATTAATGTGGTTTTAGAAGGCTCACTATTCGTGAATACTGAATATTATATAACTAGGTCACCACATAGCAAAATACATGCCATAAGGTCGGTGATGACCAATTATAATGTTGAGACATGAAATATGCGAGCTAATCTTAACATTGGTACTAGAAGCAACTTTTAATTTTTGGGGATTGTCATTCATTAGTTGAAGCTCGTGAGAATAACTAACGAGCTCGAATTTTGGTAACCTCAAACTGTCGAGTATTTCTTTGATGGGCAACCAGTTTACTGGTTTAAGATTACAAACGTCAAGTTTTAAAAACCATGCAACAGTGAAATGAAACGGCGAGAGTTTGGCGTGGGAGCAGAAAAACGCCAGCAAAATCGCAGCAAGCCTCGATAGAAATGAAGTAACTAATTGTATGGGCAGGGCAATGTGGGGCAGTGTGCAATTTCCTACTTTCAGAGGTGCAATATAAATAGTGACATCATCCCAATCTTCTCCGTAATTTGGTAAAGAGTGAGTGTTTGTGCGGTTGTCTTCATGCTATTTTCAGTGATTAGTAGGAAGCTTGTACTTGGGAAATAATAGAATCTGTCATGATATTGAACACGTAATTTTCCAGGATTTTGAACACGTAATTTGTCATGATTTTTAACACGTGATTTGTCATGATTTTGAACGCTTAATTTATCAGACTTTTGAACGCGTACTTACCACACGGTTAGCGTCTTTGCGGGTCAATCAGGTTATAGCTAAACTATTGCGGATTTATTAGTCAAACGATCTGAATCACAATCGAGCATAGATAGTAAATTGACAGTGCAGTCAATATTGTAACGATAAAACAGTCGGCCAAAGAAAGTAACATAACAACTCGAATGTAACATAACAACTTTAGTGACGCTAGCTACGGCCGGGCTACGGCCGGGCTACGGTGATATTGTCAACAGAAAATCCGCCGGTGATACGCATTTAATAGCTCGGGAACACACGCCGTGAATTCATGAACAAAATGTGAATTAATTTCTTGGCACTTGTTGTATAAAAAACAGATGTGTCAGATATAGAAAACACACCGAGAGAAACACAAGTCACCAGCATGTACAGCACTGAGCTAATAATAGGTGCACTTCTACTCCACGTAAATGTGTCAGAAATGTTGCATTGATCACGTGACACGTATAAATTATGTGTGCATAATATGCGGAAAGGAGAAGAAGAGCGGATAATTAGAGAAAATATTATCAAAGTTTCCCGGACGGCCTGCTCTTTGAAATTGGGGAGAAACAAACAGACGCGCACTCACACACAAATAAACACGCTGCTCATGCAGTTATAACATTCAGACACAACTGGTGACAGGCTTCATTTGATTGTGTTATAATTAGAGACGTGATGAAGTAAATGTTACAGTTAACATCGTCACTATCGTATCATGTTGGGTTCTATGTTTAGATAATCACCAGAGAAGAAGATAGACAGTATTTAAAGTTAACTGATTGATTGATTTAGCATGTTATGCAGTATAAATGGGGTGGGAGAAGCCGTATGTTGTCAACAAGTTGCAATCGAGAAGATTTCAGAGTTTATTATCGGAACAGTTTGAGCATGCTGGCATGTCTTTGCTTTCAATATAAATTGGATCCAACACTAAAATATCCCACCCCCAGTCCCCACTGCTCCAATTTTGACCCGATCCCGTTTCCCACGGAGTTGTTCCCCAAGGCGGTGTTTTGAACCCTCTGTAATTATACCCACATAGTTAATTATATCCACTAAATATACCCACATAAAACTAACCTGACAGTAAACAATCTGGTTTAAGGAAATTAATGACGGGTTCTAAAGCCCTAAGCTTGCTGTTGCTGGCCACAGAAAGGAGGAGTCGTTCCACCTGGATCTTGTTCTGCTTCTTGGAGAATATACTCCTGTCCGGCTTCTCGATCTGAACTACACCTGCAAAATATCAGTTCTAAACTAACCTTCAAACACGAACACGTAGTTGCCGGCACTGCACTTGGCGCTGCCCAAGCTCTCTATAGATGTCACGGCGGATGATGGTCGGAAGATTGAGGTCAGGCTCTGGTTCAGACTGGTTAGAGACCGAGATGTCCAGCTGAGGGGACGCTCTGTTTTCATGCTCTCTCCCCGACCGACGGGTCTAACTCGGGACACTTTAGGAGACCGGATGCCACTACTGCCAGGAATGTCTGGAGTGGAAACACATTTCTCAGCGGAGGTATCAGGCAGGTAGTACTCATGAAGTGACATTGTGTCTAACAGACTAACTAGCCTACGACGGTTCGTTTTAGAGGGAAGGGCTGGACGGCGGATAACCATGTCCTTGTGTGGACTCTCCAATATTGAGCACAGACCGTCCGCTTCCGTGCTGGAGAGTGTCAGATCAGGGAGACTCGAGTCCATGGTAGGAGAGGGCAAGAAAAGAGATTGTGGTCTCTGACTCCTCTCACAAGTGGACTCGTGTCTCGATATCACGTCCCAGGAGGTCATGCTATCGGTAGACACCTGCCGATTAGGGCCCGGTGGCCGATCAGCAGGGTCCGACGGATGATCTGGGTGCTGCTCAGACATAATATTCCAACAAAACAAAGAGCGGTGATAAACAATTGACGGGGGCACGATGCAGTGGGTAGCCAAGCTACTCACCACAAGATTTGGGGCGAGATATTGAGATGTATACACCGTGTACACGGTTACCAGGTGTAAGGGAGGTGTGCAACTATCACTTCCTTACACACCCCTCGTCACGAGACCCCGGCATCACCAGCTCTCTAAGCAGTACTGTTAGTGCAGTAGGAACTCTTTTGGTTGTCTCAGAAACATTGTGACTCTCAGGAACCTTGTACAGTGCAGAATGTACAAGAATAAATTTAACCCCCGGAGAACGCAAAAGACATAGAAATTATGTTGTTTGATAAAATACTGATGAGAAATATAGATTATTATTTTATTCTTACTTACTTAAAATATCCGGTAAACTGCAGAAGCGGACGACAAATCCTACCGACAGACTCGCGATGGAATTCATGGTATCCAACCGTACAGAAAATCCACTCATTATGAGAGAAGAGCAAAACGTAAAGAGCAAAATTGCATGCACTGATTAATGATTATGAGTAACAGTAAACCAGCCCTTTTAAACGCACAAAGTCAAACAGTTAACGAAATAATTACAGCAATATATACCGCTGAAGTATGAATGCTAATTCTCCTGCGTTGTCTCAACCATCTAACTAAGAAACGATGCCTTAGCACTGGAACAAAGGTGTAACTTAAATATTTAGACAGTTGACCAGCACTGGCAGTTCTGGTGCCAAGGAAGATGGAGCATGATGCGAGTAGAACACCATCATAGCGAGGGTGTCCAGAGAGTCGTCGTTAATTCACATGAGACAAATGTGGTGATGAACGTGTTGAACATGTTCACTCTGAGAAGATACAGACCTCCCACTATGAATCGCAATTCTAGTTCCAATTCCACGGTGCTCATTGATTATATTTACGATTGAGCCATTAAGTCGTTTTTAAAAGATATAATTGCTTATGATAGGTTGGGGAATCTGCATATATGGGTAAAGATTTCGTCTGCAAAATGAGTCACCACAACTTGGAATATTGCATTATGGAATTAATCAATCCGACTATTTTTCATTAAATGCTTAATGAGAATATATAATACAGTGGAGAGCATTGAGCAGCAGTGCAGTGAACCCGGCTTTGACGTGCTGTAAATTAATAATTGTCGGAAAATGGGTTAGATCAATTAATATTAAATTCATGATATTAAACTATGCAGATTTTCCATTTATGAACTTCCATCAGCAAAATAATACAAATTGGACAAACCGTCAGGGCAGATGCTTTCTATGTCCTCATAAAGTGCTATGACATCGCGGAACTTTTTATAGATAACATAACTTTGAAGCTGCAGTTTCTCTATATTCGTCTTCACATGTATTCGGAAATACCTTCCCATGTTGTTCGGACCTGAAAGAAATCGATCAGAAATAGTTTTAACAGCGCTTACTTGATTTTATTCGGGATACAATTTTGGAGGGAGGAATTACATTTGAAGGTGACAAGAGGAAGTCGTCATATGGGTTATCACTTAGAAGGGGATTATTTAGTTTCTTAGTAGCACGGAGTAGGCTAAACGTTTAAACATTCCTCTACACTTAAACTTCTTCGATATTTGTTTGCGTGGATTTACCAACAATTTATCGTTAGTTGGATTGTTTTAGAAATTCGAAAAGAATGGTATATATTGCTTCAGACCTCTGCATGAGTCTACTCATGAACGGATTTTTGTTTCGGAGGCATTTAATAATGTATACAGATTGTGGCGAACAAGTTCCATAGCAAAAAACAGATGCCTACCAAAACTTCAAGATTATTCTATCCTTACTAAGGCGATTTTAACAGTAACGCGGATGATCTGATTACAATAATCGTGGGCAATAAGTAGCAAACATGTTAAACCTTTTTCGTTTAAATATTAAGAATATTTTAAAATCAAATATTATGTGAATACAAATCAGTTTATGAAGGAGTACACAATTTAGTCCATAACCCTTTTGGATCTGTCGTTGTTCAAGTGCTCCCAAAATATCAGGAAGATGGAATTAATCTAGCTTAACCATTAGAACATTGGTGCCGAGAGTGCCAATAGGTTAAAATGAGCAACTTCGAAGCTGCCATGTTTGATAATCGATCATCAATGTTTGATACTTACTTTCTTCTGGACCGAGAGCATCAACCATATCCACAGACCAGGTGTTCTTCAGTTGAAGGAGCAAGTAGTAACACTCATGTGGATGCATCTTATATCTCTTTTTTATATCTTTAGTCTCTTGCTCTACGTGTCTGATTGATTTCCCGATTCTATGCGTCAATTCACAGAGACTATCAATCCGACCACGTAATTCACTCACTTTGTTGCTGACAAAGGACTGATTTGTTGCAACTGCGCTCAAAGAAGCTCTTATTGATTTCAGACTTTCCTGGGCCTTCATAGACCTAGATAAAAGCCTTCCCATGTGGTCGTCGTGTTCCGCTAACTCGAGAGTAGTACTTTTAGCGCTACTTCTTCGACGATGTCTCAGCTTGTTAATCTTGGAGGAAAGGCCATGGTCAGCATCCAAGGTGAAGGATTTCTTTCGTGACTTAGGCGACTCGAGGTTAGATGATTCAGGAACGACTACCTTTGTAACTGACTTCTTCCGTCCCTTAGGCGAGTCGTGGTTACACGGTTCAGCAACAACCATCTTTGTAAATGATTTCTTTCGTGCCTTGGGCGACTCGTGGTTACAAGGTTCAGGAACGACTATCTTTGTTACGGATATCTTTCGTACCTTGTGCGGCACATGATCACATCGTTCTGGAACGACCATCTTTGTTACGGTGTTCATAGCTTGTGGAAAGTACGAGATTGTTGCAATCACCGGACTCGAATCAGTACTGGTTGAGGCATCTTCGCTGACTTCAAGTTCAGCAGCAAATTGTTTTGGTGAGACAACAGGCACAGGCTCACCAACTTCACTGATAGTAATTATCGGGTGCCGATGAAATGATCGTTCCAAAAACTTCTTCATATCGTATCTTTAAAAAGAGCAGCGGTAAACATGACAATATAGTGACAATATAAGGAAATAACAAATTAAGGTACTAAAGCCGTAGAAATACAAGGCCGCATTATTACAACTTCGATCAACACACCAATAAACATTATCGGCATAATAGGAGAGCGTGTATCAAGTCATATACACGTCTCAATGGCGTCCGAAAGTTACGCTACATATTCAATTTCATGCGGCAAGAACACGAATTAACAAATCGTTAAGTTGATCAAATGAATCGCTGGAAAAGAAAAATTAGTTGAATTATAGATGGAGTTTTAAAACTTTCATCCTGCGCTGTCCAGTGCCCAGGAAAATATACAATTTCGGTTAAGAATTAAAGATATATGATACAACTATATCAGTTTGTATAAAGATAACATATAACCTATGTATAAGCCATCGATTGTGGTGACCATGATATTTAACTTAAAACTATTTTAGAGGTCATTGACTACGCCCAAAATAGTTTGTGTAAGTATACAGGACCAGTTACCACGGCAACGCCAAGGTTAAGTCACCGGAATTATCTGGATTGCTAAAGAATTGAATCGGCAGTATAATGTAAGTACGATAACATACAATACATTCGATCTATCCGTTATCAGAAGAACATATGGCGTGAATTCGTGATACTTAATTGCACGTGCAGCGATCATTACCTTGGTAACATATCGCTTAATAACCTTGATTCGCCATTATTTGCAGTGCAATTTAATTCTGGACTTTTTTGGTTATGGCGGATGACAACGTTGGCAGGCCGATTCCTAAAATAGTTGGCCGCGGAAAAAATCGCCTTAAAAGACCCTACTCAGCACATTCTTATGATTTGCGATCGACCATAACACGGTGTCATTCAAGTGAAGATGCAAATTGTTCTTTTTGTCACTTTTACAAAACATCCCACGACGATCTTTTGGAATACAATAGTAAAATCCGTACCCAACTGCTTAAAACTACTACACGAATATTGATTATTGGTCAATGTGTTCATCAAAAGGATGGAAAAATAAGGAAACTGCGCGGACTTCTGCAAGAGAGAGCTGATGCATTACGTGAGAAAAATCTAGAAATGCAGGAGTATTTACGGGAAGCCCGACTCCGGAAAGATGAGCTGCAGCATACAATTACACAATTTCAGCAATCTAGGGAGGAAGTGGCAGACCTCCACTCGCAGTTGGAACACGTTGGGAAAAAAGTTAAAACATTGGAAGAGGTTTGTCAGCAAGGAAAAATGGAGGTGCAAAAATTGAAAGACCCGCTCGAATCGTTGATACGAAATATATCACCTCTACTTCTTGGGCTCAAAGATATTGCAAATGGTAATAGAAATGAAACAGATTCTCAGTCAATTTCAGCAAAATTAGACAGTTTACAGGAAACATTAACCCTTTGCGAAGACGAAATCTCCACGAGAGGAGAAATAGTCGACGTAATGGATGTCTGCAACGCTCAAGAACTTATCGAGAAAATGATAGCTGAAGTTAAATGCGGGGTTTGTCACGATATGTTCATTGATCCAGTAGCGTTGCCATGTGGGCACGTGTTTTGCGAATTTTGTATCAGGATGTGGTTCAAAAGAATCAGAGGGTGCCCTGTATGCAGGAGAAAAGTTATAACTTGCTCTCAACTACATGCTGTATATCAATTTAGGGAAATTGTTGGGCTGCTAAACGCTTATAGACCTTCAGAAGATCAGGAAACCAGGGTGCAAGAAATAGCAAAAAGAATTTCTTCGCATGACGACTTGTACAGTGATCCAATGCCCAGGAGAATGCGTGAACGGCCCACAAGCTCAAACGACAGGAATGAGCGATTTACACATCGTAGGAGAAGATTAGAGAATGACCCTCCATCAGTTCCTTACCCTATCCCTCTACCAAATTCGGGACTTCCAACAGCCATGCTTGATGGTTCATCGCCTATGCAGGACATTCATGTGCCTATGGATTTAATTCCGCACCAAGTGCCAAATCCTTTTGCAAATTTGACAGCAAATAACACATTAGATTTGAGTCCAGAGTCACCTCGGAACATGATGAGTTTGTTGCTGAACGAGACATTTACCAGTATCGACAGATTTATACGAGGAGGACCGATGACAAGACCCTTAAACATGATAGAGCCCTTAAACATGATAGAGCTAACAACGGAAAGACAGTCCAATGTCGAAGAAGCTGCTCCCACAGTTGAGTCAACCGAAAGGATTGCAACGTGGGATCCAAACCTAATAATAGCCTTCAACCAAGAGGACCAAGTTGGGACCTCTGATAACCCGATCGTTGTGCCAGACTACGCTCCAGAAGAACCGGAACTGCCCAGTCAGACTCCACCGGGCACACCTCCAGAAGTATTTGAGTCAATAAACAGTGAAAGCTCTGAGGAAATATGGCCAAACACACCCGCAAACGTTTCACAGTCAACCAGCACTCGAAATGTATCATCACATGACGAAATAACTCCAGCAGAGCCGTCGACCGAAGCTTTTAGTGATTCGTCAAACAGTACACAAGAGATTTATGTGGACACAACCGCCAGCGTAGCGGAAGAGCTACAGAGCCTATTGGAAGGAGAATATCTCAGTTCATCATCCCAATCTGATGTCTCAGAAACCGAAACCGAGACTGAAACCGAAACAGATACTGATACCGAGAGCGAATATGGGGTATTACCATCGACCCCGATTATAAATGAAGATCTTGATAATATCGAGTAAAGTTCTGAAACTTTTTAATATCGATTCTGTTCAACATTAGTTCCAGCGTATTGATTCTTTTTTTGCTTTTGAGTGAGAAACCGAGGTTAGCCACAGCGAATCAGTAACAAAATTACTTCATCCCCAATTCTTACTAATTACCCCGGGCTACACGCGGAAACCCATTCGCCTAAGTTGGAGTAAGGTGATGACAGACGTACACTGTTTTTACCGAGACGGGAGACCTGGCAGCGTATAGTAGCAAACCCGACCTTGTGACGTCTGTGCTATCAGACAGCCACTAACCAATTACCGTCCGAGTACTCAGTCAAACGAGCCAATCACAAGACAGGTACTCAGTAAAAACGTCCAATCACAGGCTGCTGCTCAGTCTACACAGTCAGACGAACCAATCGTGGCCCAGGTATTTTATTGTTACACGAGCCAACTTACAATAAACTGGTAGTTAACTGTAGGTCTGGATACTGGTGGGGAGGTGGACCATGTTTGTTTTGACACGTGAGGGTGATTCTGGGGTTTCATTGGTCAATACTGGAAGCTGATTGGTTGAGCGCCGTCACGTGACAGATCTATAGGCACCGGCGTTAAAATATCTGAACAGCAGTAAATCTGCTCAGTAAATCTTAAAGTTAAAGTTTAAAAATTTGTTATGAACAAGTTTAAGAGAAACAGCAGAGCAGAGCCGATTATTAAAGTTGTACAAAGTCGTCTTGAAAAGCTCTCGACAAGCCTGTAAGTACAAAGAAATGAATATAATATCTGGTCAAATATTGAATATATGCCTCATAAGTAAAGTTCCAGACTGCCTTTCGCATGGACTTGGAATGTCAATGGTAATTTGTGGTGAAGCATTATTAAAAATGTCTAAAGCACGAAGTTTTGCCAAGTGTGGACATCGAAAGCATGTCAAGAATGTGAATTAAATGTGGACCAATGTTTTCTAAACGAACGCGCTGACACAGCAGCAGTCAGCACGATTCGAGCCACTTCTCGCAATGAAAAGGCAGTACATTATAAGTGTTGAAATTTAACTGTGAATAAAATTCGTGTAATAATGTAATATGCAAGGCGAAAATTTGACATTCATAATTACCCCAACCTGCGCACACTGCAGTTCCGGAATACTTAGGAATATTCTGGAAAAACGTTTACACAGCATGTTTTCGACGGCCGTTGAAATTAGAAAATGTAAGCGTCGTCTGAACGGTAAACCTCGAGGAACGATCAGCTTGAATGCGGGTTAATTACAACTCACAACAGAGCACAAACTTTAGGAAGGCGTCCAACAGGGAAAACATGACAAGATACGTAACACACGGAACATGAGTACAATAAAAAGAGTTAGTATAAGCTCATTAAATAGCGCGATTGCCCTCTATTCAGTCACTTCAGGTTCGCAAGGACTATTTAGATTTTCATACCCGTCAAATCGGCACTGCTGAGCGTTAAGTACCTAGATAAACGTCACTTTATATTGCTATATAGTGAAGTACTGACGTCATCTTCAGGGCGGGGTTAACGGCTGGGAAACTCAAATACTTTATCCTTTAGAGATTAAAAGCAGCAGTAAGTATCGTTACCAATAGTTACCAATAGTTACCAATAGTTACCAATAGTTACCAATAGTTACCAATAGTTACCAATAGTACTGAGACTGCTGAATGGTGATGGATACACATTACACATTATTAACCTCGGTCAAAACGACAACTTATACTTTGAAATACGTATAAACAACTCATGGAAATCTGAAGGTAACACGACACAGATCTGTTTAGAAAATAAGAAATGACACTCAAAGGCCCTGTGTAAACGGCGCTAGCCAACTACTGATGTAATTTATTAAGTGGACATTCTCGTATTTCTCCATTGCAAGCTCAAGTGCAGTTATAACCTGGTAACCTAGTAACCTAGTAACCTGGTAACCAAGTGGTAACCAAGTGGTAACCAAGCTCAAGTGGTAACCCGGTAACCTAGTAACCTGGTAACCAAGTGGTAACCAAGTGGTAACCAAGCTCAAGTGGTAACCTGCCTTACTTCATGGACAGATACTTCATGCTCTGAAATTCCAGGTGTCAAGGTTAAAAACCTGTAAATTAACACAATGTTGGTTAGAAGAGGGAGAAAAGCAGCAAAACCGGTAGATATCAACGATAACAAACCGGTCATATACTCTTAAGTGGGTTCCTGAGTTAAAGGCGTAAAACCGATTACTGACATAATATTTTATCAATTATCATGTAGACATTCTCGTATAGCCTCAAAACAACTGTCTGCTAGAAATCCGAGAAAAGCAAGAAAAAAAAACATATCAATGCGGCATAACTATAGTTAGTCAGTAATTAACACCACCACGATCTAGACAAGCTTATTGAGAAGGAACCCAAAACAAAGGAGAACTAGTGACACCAGTGTGTGGACTCTGGTACACACCTCAGTAATATGAGGTAATATGAGGTCAAATTGGGTGTGAGGCAATGAGACAGCAACAAATCATCCGTGGCTTTCTGGAAAGTTCGGTTGGTATGCCTCGCTTGTAAATTGTTAGGTGTAGACTCCAGATATTTACTCAGGGGTGGATTTTCAAAAAGTAAATAAACTGTCCTCACATTATGACATTATGATATCACGGGGATGATGAATCTAGGATGTGAAAAACTACAATTTATAAAGGATTAAGTTACAAATATTAGAACATCAGGAACGTGAAATACACTAAATTACAGAGAAGTGAAGTAACGACGATCCTATATAATAACATTCCGTCCACTCAAACAGTCCGGCTAAAATAAGCGAGTAAGTGATTCGTTCCAACTGCCAACGCCATTTCTTCAGACACTAATACCCTTTTCCTACCGAACTTGCCCGTCTCGTCATGACCGAATACGGGGAGACACGTGATTTGGATACCACCATATAAGGGAAACCACGTGACAGGTTACTTCCTTATAAGGAAGTTTTCACCAGAGTTCTAATTAATGCTAACTGGCAGTGTGCTAAGCAGCGCATAGAGCGTGTAGAACATCGTACAAATGTTACGGCAGGGAGAAGGTAAATAATCCACGTAATCCACGGATCGTTCTTTGTTGGTAGTCACAAATCACGGCCTTTCTAAGGTCACCAGATGTACTCCTTATCACAATTTTGGCAGTTTCCAACGATCGTGTAAGGTACATGAATTAATATACACGCCACATATATTAGATAATATTAGATAATCCTGGACAGTAATTTTACCGTCGGCTGCTGGCGAGTGATCATGACCATATAAGGGAAACCACGTGACCTTATATTACCATATAAGGGAAACCACGTGACTGGTTATTACCATATAAGGGAAACCACGTGATAAATTTCACCGGACTCAGTTGTGTTGGCAGGAGTGATGTGAACCAGTCATTATCGTACACGCTAAGCATAATAATAATATCCAGTACATTGTGTTGTACATACAAGGCCAACTTTTAACAGGTGTTCTATTTTTATCATTTGCGTTATTACTGTATCGCGATGAGCTCCACCCCATCACACTGCATGCCGTAGGACTTCAACATATTTTTCTTATGATAGACAATATTTTCAGAGAAGAATACGGCGTGATATTTAGAATTTGGATTTCATTTTTCAGTGGAAATTACTACGGAGAAGATGTTGAATTTTTTTGCTGAATTTGAGCAAAATAAAACCTTTCTGGTAGTTCCGTTCAAGTGGAAGTTCCAAGATATTGCTGCCTGAATTATTTGAACAAGAAAGGCTTCACTTCTGTTAAACCCACTATACTAGTCGTTATCTATTTACAACATATTATCTACTATTCAATACGCTATCTATTACTAAATAGCCGATATTTAATACAATAGTGACAATGACAGTACTATCAACTATGTTAAATTACAGGCTGGCCACAATTTGATCGGTTCTGGAAGTGACTTTTAAAACATAATCTAGTGAGATAGCTAATCAATTGTTCAGTCATGCTAGTTTGACCAGACTTCAGATAGGGTTATGTGTGACGTTTGTTGATACTAAAATAGTAACAGGGTAGCAGCTTGACGTTTAATCGGCCGCTAACAACTTCCTCTGGCAGACTGTATTAGTATAATCTGTATCCATGAAAGGTCGCAACCTCAAATGTTTCACCACTTCAGATATGAAATGTTATTTTTTCAAGGAGATGAGGATTGGGGCTAGACCGTGTGGAATACTACACCTCTTATCGCTTGATTGGTGCTTTTACTAGAATTAGTTTGAGAAATATCAAATAAAGGCTTTGACAATTGGCTCTCGACAAAACAAGTTAGAGTGGACAAAATGAAACAGATAAATGGTAGAGAAAATAAAAAGTATAATCGATGTTCCCATGCTTTTAGGCCTTTTACTAAGATTAATTACAACTGAGTATGTCATTTTTATTTACTCCTAAAATTTTATTTACTACCAGAAAAATTAGAATGTTACCAACTCACGCGCGGCGTTTTGGGAATCAAGGATTTAATGATAAAATGTACAACATCCGTCTTTTGTAGAGGACGTAAAGTGCCGATTAAACCTGACTCCTTGGCCTTCACGTACGAAAATGCAATTAAAGTTAAAAACAGTTTTTATGATAGAATATAAACAGGAATAGAATATAAAGCTCTAGACAAATATAAAGCTCTATACTGCTTTGTCTATCTTCAGAAAGTACCCCGAGCAGCCACTTCTAACCTCACGAAGAGGCCTCATCCCAGAAAATTCAAGTATTTCAAACCATCCTCCGCAGACATTCCAGATACCTAATTCTCTTATTAATCAGTAAAGTTGACAATACCATATGTTCAGGATACCATTTGTAGTATAACCGAGGTAAAGAGAGTATCAAATGTCAAGCGAGTGTGCAGAGTATATATATATATATATTCTATATATAGAGTATATATAGAGTATATACAGAGTATACATTATTAGTTACTGCTAATCTGAGATCGCAAGACGTAGTTCTACCAGTGTGAAGATAGTGCCGATAGTGCTGATAACACATTTTATTAAGTGCTAGATCTCTGCAATTTTGGGTACTTTTGGTAACCGAGAATAAAACAATAAACGTGGATATTCAGGGATATTCAGGGGCTTCCACTGCAAGGGGCATTAAGGGGTCTAATTTGATGCCTGAGTGCAACTTATGTACCCACATTATGTCATATACAGGGTGGCCCGAAATAGATGTTGCAATATCCTACAATAAATGGGAAACTCTACACATATTGTTGAATTATATCTTTGGGAAGCCATATTTTAATATCAGGGCCACCCCGTACATGATAAATCCTTCATACATCGTACAGTAAAATGAGAATTTCTAACTTGTTTTGTCAATCCTTGAAAGAAAAACGCAATAGAAAAACCGGAATGTTAATTTAAAAAACTTACTTTGTCCGAGAGTTTTCTTAGATTTACTGAAATGTCCTCCGAGTTCTCCAGAAACCTCGATAGACAGGAACTCTGAAAATAAATCCCGTAAGCAATTTGGAAACGGTTTATCATCATTGCTTCACATATTTTCTAAAAGCTGTTATTTTTAATAAACCGGTATGTCCTGAGAACAAATTAGAATGTTCCCGAAATAGATCTATCTGAAAATTTACAAGCACGGCACATTTGACCGTAAACTCTACCCCTCACTATCCTTTTGACGGAATGTTTTCATCGGGTAATTCTGAGAGTTGCACTATGACTTATTTGAAACTATGTGCTGCAACAAATGTAATTGCCGTGACCTAACTATTTTGTGAACTTGTACGGTTTCACTGATGCGACAATCGCTACTACTTTTTCCTTGATATCCTATAACGTATGACGTGTATATCGTGGGGCTTACCATGACAATCGTACAGTATCTCATACGAGTAGGTAGCTGTTTGGAATAATAAACAAGAAATGCGATTCATCGCATCCGCATCACATCTTAGTCCTTACGTTATCATCAGTCTGTGGTATGTACAAACTAAAAATGTATGTTCTAAATTTTGTTGTAGAAAAATGTTTTGTGCTTGAAATATTTAAACGTTTGAGTTGTGGAGACTGTGATGAAGATATGATGTGAATAAGGGATACCGGGCTTCGCTGTTGCCATAACGACGTTAAATTCTTGATACTGAGTAGATATTATGACGAACGTAGGATGTCATGAAAACATGAAGTTGCTATGACAATATTAGATTGTCATTGCAACTCGAAGTTGTCATGCAAACCATGAAATTAGTTACCACAATTAAGTTGCCTTGACAACAATTAGTTGACATCAATACACTTAATTGTTATTACGTCATTAAGTTGCCTTGACAGCCCTAATTTGGACAGTTTGTTATGGCATTACTAATTTACAAGATCAATAACAACATATTTTGTTTGTCGATTAAATCGGTATGACTTAACTTATCAGGCCTTATCAAGTCGTCATGACATATCGCTCATTTGATCACCGTGAAAAATGACATCATTAAAAAATGTGTGGCCATGACGAACCAAAAATTCCACGAACCTGCAGCTCCAGCAGGAATAGTACTGAGTCTCCTCTTCACCTCGTAGGCCATGAAATAGAGCGAATTAGCGGTTTGACGTTCCATGACATTGTCAGAAAAGTAGTCCTCCTCACTTCCCTCCGACTCATCGTGCTGACTGGTCGTGACTGAGCAGGACCGGTCATCTTCCGAGTCAGAGTAGTACTCGCCGTAGTTCAGGAGATGGGGTGGGAAGTAGGAGTCTTTCCGGCGAGGGATCACACTATAGTTGGATAAAGGGTCCCCGGAGACGGGTCGGGAGCGTGGGAAACTCCGGCGGATCCGGAGTTGAGGAGAGGGGAATTGGTCGACCAAAGATGGGTTGTTGGTGGGTGTTTTGGTGCAGGAGATGTCACGACGAGGGGAGTTATTGGCAGAGCCACTATCGTCCTCTGGTCCTGACACTGACACCTGGAAGGATGGAATGCGCTCCAGTAAAATCCTGTGAATGTCACTACCAGAGCTCTCAAGAGACCCAGGATCACTGCACATGCTGTATCTTGCCTCACTGCATACACTGTACCTGGGGTCGCTTCCCACGCTAAACCGAGGAGCACTGCCTAAACTGTAACGAGTGTCCTCTCCGAAGCTGTGTCTGTTAGCGTTGGTTGGAGTTTTTTCTTCCCAGCTAGCATTACTGGTTTGGAGGTTCAACCTGGATGGGGCAATGTGGGTAAATGGCAGTTCGCCTAGAACCGGAGATATTTCTTCCGATTCGTGGCGTCTAAAAAATATCTTTTCGTTGATTAATGGCCCCAATGAGCCACGGTCTGGTCTAGTTCTGGTAATAGCTTTATGATAATTGGCTTCCTCATCCTCGACAATCGTCATGTCAACATTTTTATCCTCGACAATCGTTATGTCAACATTTTTATCCTCATCAAGACCATCATCAACTTGTTCGTTTGTAGTTTGCATATCCTCGACATTTGGAGCTGCCAACTGATGATCCTCAATTATTTGAACGTCAGGCTGGACAACGCCCTGATCTTTGACAATTACTTTTTCAAAATCTTGCTCATCGTCAACCTTTTCAGAAACAGGGTCTACAGCTAAGCCGTGATCAGAGACTTGAATACCATCATCTGCGAGTTTCTTGATGGTTTCTTTCTCATCGTTGATTCGAATATCAACGATATTTTGTTGAATGACCAGCTGATCTTTGCATGGTACTGCCGCAGAATATTCATCAGACACATTCTCATCTTTTACAGAAATGTCAATTATTTGTTCGCCGTTGAATGGAATATTGGCTGATTGTTCATAAGTAGCGGGATCATCAATTATCTGTTCGACATCAGATGGAATACTGATTGCTTGTTCATCCTTGGATGGAATATCGATTGCTTGTACATCAATGGATGTAATATCGAGAAATTTTTCATCCTTGGATGGAATATCCACTGCTTGTTCATCAATAGATGGAATATCCACTGTTTTTTCGTCAGAAGATGGAATATTGGTTACTTGTTCATCAATGCAGGGAACATCCACTGCGTGTTCATCAGAAGATGGAATATCCACTGCTTGTTCATCAGAAGATGGAATATCCACTGCTTGTTCATCAATAGATGGAATATCCACTGCTTGTTCATCAGAAGATGGAATATCCACTGCTCGTTCATCAGAAGATGGAATATCCACTGCTTGTTCATCAGAAGATGGAATATTGGTTACTTGTTCATCAATGGAGGAAACATCCACTGCTTGTTTATCAGAAGATGGAATATCCACTCCTTGTTCATCAATAGATGGAATATCCACTGCTTGTTCATCAATGGAGGGAACATCCACTGCGTGTTCATCAGAAGATGGAATATCCACTGCTTGTTCATCAGAAGATGGAATATTCGTTACTTGTTCATCCTTGGTTGGAATATCAATTGATTGTTCATCCTTGGATGTAAGATTGGCTGTTTGGTCATGAATGGATGGAATAGCGATTGTTTGTTCATGAATGGAGGGAAAATCCACTGCTTGTTCATCAGAAGATGGAATATCCACTGCTTGTTCATCAATGGAGGGAAAATCCACTGCTTGTTCATCAATGGAGGGAACATCCATTGCTTGTTTATCAGAAGATGGAATATTGGTTACTTGTTCATCCTTCGTTGGAATATCAATTGATTGTTCATCCTTGGATGTAAGAGTGGCTGTTTGTTCATGAATGGAAGGAATAGCGATTGCTTGTTCATCAGATGATGGAATGTTGATTGCTTGTTCATTATTAGGCGGAATATCGACCACTTCATCCTCATTTGATGGGATCTCGATTGTTTGTTCGTCGCTTACTGGAATATCGACTGATTTTTCATCGTTGACTGTAATATCTACTTCTTGACCGTCCTCGACCAGCAGCAGGGGGCCGGCCTCTGATGTTGAGCTGCGTTCTGACTTGAGTCCGGTGTAATATTCTTCAAAAACTCGGATGTCCGGCTCGGGCACAAAACTCATTTCCCTACGAATAACCGTGGCACGGTGTTAATATCTAGCTTACAATAAAACCCTAGGCATATCAACCTCCGATCAAAGGCTACAAAGAAGCAATATAAAGTTTTGGGGTGACGCCCATTAGTAGGTTTATAACAAAAAGTAAAGTCCAAATGACGCAAAAGCAAGGTGCACTAATAGGAGGCACTCAATAATGGGCAATGGACAGAACTCTCGCCACACGAGGGTACAGCATATGTAGTGTAATTAATTTGACATCCCCGCGGTTCATGACAAAAACCTGGCAAGACTTTTAACTGTAGCGTAGTGCGCCAGAGTAACAGCTCTGCGGAAGGAAGACAAGTGTTTTATATGCTATAAAATACAGGGTATTACAAATTGCTGACCTCTCAGTGCCTGGATACACACCAACGGCCAACCAGTGGACTTTGTCCGAGGAACTGGCCAGTTGGGAACGGAGCTGGGGGTCACCTGACCAAAACATTAGAAGTGTGTCAGCGGCCTGTCAACAGATAGGCCGATGTATCTACAGCTCGAGCAGCAGAGTCGGGATGTAGTGACCAGCGCTTCGTCAAGCTCGCAATGTGGAGCTCGCGATCGGTGCCCACAGATCTGCACAGTTCTGCAAATTTTCACTCTCGATTCGATTGCCCACGTGACAGGCACTGGAGGGCACGTGGGCGGTCCGTCTTGTCACGTGGTACAGTGAAATTTGATTCGACTGGGCAACTGCGAAGCCCGGTATAGTTTGCCATGATTTAACATATATTAAGATGAAAATTGAGGTCATGTATCAGATGACGAGTGCCAAGTATGTGATTGGTGGGTGGATGTCACGTGGACGTAGCAAAACGCCGCTGATTGGTCGAGCGGGTTAGACCGGTTTGACGTCTTGTGCAGCTGTTGATTATGAGATTCAGGGTTTTTGTGATGAATAATTGTGAATATCGTAATTAGAGATAATCAACATTTCTTGAAGAATGAAGTTATGTCAGGAAATATTGTAACAGAATATGATGTTTATTGACGAAACTGAAAACCGCCATGCGAAAATTAAACTTTGAACATCCAATATTGATATCAAAGTATTCTTAAATCCAGAACAATTGACAACTAATCAGAATGCAAATCAAAAATAATCAAATAACTCAGACAAAGACAGTAAAATAGCTGTCCAGTCAGCCGGTCGAGTAATGCAAGCAAGCGAGAGAAGAGATTACTTGGCGGCTATACTTATTAACCAGGTAATCGTGATTAGGCATGTACAAATTGACTGTCACGTGATCAGACATGTACAAATTGGCAGTCAGCTTGGGTATAATGGTTCTGCAATTTCTAATATACCTAGGCTGACTCCTATTAGGGTGAGCTGCCAACTTAAAATTATTTTATATCCGCTTTCAATTTTCAGGGAGTTATATTGATCAAAATGGCTGGATCCAAGCTCAAAGAAATTTTCTGCCAACTCTAATTTTCTTCTAACTCTTATCAGAACGGCGATGGAGATTCGATATTTTAATATATTTCTTGGCGAGAAATCTTTGATCTCGATTTACTGGTTAGTAGTTATGCGGCTGCAGATGAGTGTAAACACACACTCTGGTCACAGCAGATGAATCTGCAGCAGTGATAATGATTTTAAAAGTTGAATGATTCTCAGTTTGGTGTAGTGATGATTGCAAGCACACGGTGATATCATACGACTGCGCACTGAGAATGCTTACAGTGTGGGACTCACTTGACATTGAACAAAGAATCTCGCTTTGTGAGATCAACACCCTCAACACTCAACAGCTCAGTGGACTTTGTAGAAGTTTGAATAATATGTGTGTGTGTGTGTACTATGTGTATTGTGTACTGTGTACTATGTGTGTGAGTGTGAGTGTGAGTGTGAGTGTGAGTGTGAGTGTGAGTGTGAGTGTGAGTGTGAGTGTGAGTGTGAGTGTGAGTGTGAGTGTGAGTGTGAGTGTGAGTGTGTAACTGTTACGTGACGAATATTAACCTTATAGTGACGACTTTTAATCTAATAGCTTACAGAGTGCGCGTTCAATTAAATGGATAAATTCCCACGGATTTTTATCAAAGGTTGCCTCTTCGTCTACCAAGTATATCTGTCTGGGGGCAACATTTTTTGTAAATTCCTCCTGGACGGTTTACATTTTGAAGTACCTTCCACAAAATCGATTACTGAGTAAGCCTCAACAGTTGGGTTACCATACCAGTCAGAGTAGAACCTTAGCAACGGATAGCAGTTAAGAGAATTACTAGCTAGCTAAGTCTCCGCAACTGAGATGCAAAAATATCCAAAGCACGCTTATATACGTTTCAGTAATTGCAAACGTCCGACAGAAGTAAATGATAGTCGGAAAATAGGTTAAACCAGAAACATTAAACTACCTTGTTCATTTTCCCTCCATCCGTTAGTAAACCATTAACCGATACCTTACCACCCACACCGAAAACCCAAATGAGGTTTATAAAATTTTGCTCCTCGTTCCGATCTTTAAATTGTAGCCAACTCAAGGAGTGGCTAATTGATATCGATTTGTCAAAGTGCAGTTTGACTTCAACTGGACTTTTTAAATAGATGTCTCTAATATTAACCTAATACAGTAATACCCCAATTTAACGCGGAGTGTGGGGAAGGAACCAGCCGAAGTAAATCAGGGTTTGAGTTAAAACGGGGCGCTGTGAATCGAAGTTTACTGTATTACTATAATATTACTCTAATATAAGCTTGCCACCGCGCCGCAACCAATAGCACTAAACTAGTTCACTTTGTTTTAGCCCGCCAGGAAAGTGCTTTAATTTCAGAACCGCTCCGAGACTATCTATCCGTTGTGAACATTTGACTAGTGAAACTACAGACCATATTTGATCTCAAATCCTGCAAATTTTGCAGACTGTGGTTGAGCTGGAAAACTGTTGACTGACAACAGCGAGGTCACAGAGCAAGGTCACAGAGCGAGGTCACAGAGCGAGGTCACAGAGCGAGGTCACAGAGCAAACTGTGCTCACGACTCACGAGGGTAATGCAGGCTGAGATAGTCGGCGCACAATTATCAAATATTGAGAGCGGGTTTGAGGTTATAATAATATGGAGGTTTGTGGTATCTGGCAATTTTCTAGATGGTGATAGGCTAGATACTATCGACAATATTGGACAGAGCTATCAGCCATCTCCACCATACTGTGATATGGAGGTACTGATACGTTATGTCAACAGTACGCGAAGTTATTCGAGATTTTAATTAATAAGGGCCCAACACGTGTCGAGACGACCCCGTACCGTGTGCGCAATATTCATCAACCAATAACTTGCAGGCATGCTAAGTGTCATATTTTCCAATGAACGATTGATGACTTTTGGGACAACAGTGTTGGGTGCATTAAATATTTACAATATTAAATGTTTTTAATTCTTCAGATTGCAGGTTGCAGAAAAGGTGCAGGAGACCACCTACTCAACGATGGCATCTAAAGATCTAATATTACTACTACTACTACTACAGAGATAATACAAGTAGACAAATCAAAAGATATGCAAACTATTAATTCTACCTTGGAAGGGCTGGGTTTCTGGAATAATCCCCTTAATTTGAGGAAATACAAAGTAGATTCGCACTGACAAAAGCAACAGTATTGGAACAATTATTAATGAAGTAGTTACATAATACCAGTGGCTTTCTCAATAATTCTCAATACGTCAATGTTGTATTGTTTACAGTCATAGGTAAATTAACAGGAAGGTAGGACAATAGCAAGCGTATCAAGTTGTAGTAGGAGATAAAGAGAGAACATTCCACGCAGGCTTGCTCAATGAAGTGTTGATTTGGAATAAACGTTACATGACGTTGACATGACGTGAAATATCTAGGGTGAAAAGGGTAACAATATAAAGTGGAACATACTTGAGTATGCTCCAAAACACTCGAGTATAAAAAGAGTATTCTAGATACATTGGTATGTACGTGAAATATTTCTTTATAATTGTCACGCCTCCAACATCTAGCCTCTAAGTTTTAGACCGGAAACTTAGAGCTACCCTATCGACTGTCAACTGATAAAGAGAAAAAAGCTCTGCCATCTCGAGTGGCTATACCAATACTGATAAAAGTATTTTATGTGGTACAACACTTAGCAGCTGTTACAGGCTAAACTTACAGGTAAGTAACGCAGCACATCTCGGGGTCTACATTATATATAGATATTAAGTGGTGTTCAGGCTTGGCTAAGGGCCCGAAGGGTGCATGAGTGTTCATATTCCAATAATAGATCAAATGGCTGAGTGCGGTTACTTACTGTCACTTTATGGTGGATTAACTGGAACTACAAAGTTATTTCATAGACGATAACAATAAAAGCGGCACTTTAAAGTGAGGCTTGAAGCGGTATTGCTTTATTGAGGCAATTAAAACGCACTTGTAGCATGATTGGGGCAGTTAACGATTTGGTTGATAAATTGAGGTAATTAACGTACTAGTTGTTTAATTGAGGAAATTAACATGTTGGAAAGTTGATAATGCAACATTCAAAGCCACGCTTTCTTAATAATAGACGGAAGTTCCGAACGGCCACTGAGGTGAAACTCATTATGGTGTGATTTTTACTTGATATGATGGTGACATGATCATGACACACAAAACACGGTTGTTTGATGTGTGAGCACAATAAATTAATAATCTCGGATATAGACAAACCTTCTGTGGGCAGCTCAAACGATGCATAACTGTTTGCAAGTGGAGATAACGGTCGCTGTCCCTGAAAAGAGGATATGTTAACGGAAAACAAAGGATTTTACAAAGCTATCAAATTGGCAGATCTAAGATTTTTAGCTCAAGAGATTTAGTATAAAAATTGAAAACAAACAGTTATTGAGGCCGAGGGTCGAGTGTTTGTGTCAGTCAGTTGAAAAGTTTGGTAAGCGACAATATATGTTGTCTTTAAGCAAGGTCATGGTATGTTTAGTTGAGTTGCACAGTTATTCTTGATTTCTTGATTCTTCCCATTAATATAACATTGACCTTCACTTGAAGAAAAAAGGAGAGCTTGGTCGCTCTTGATTAAGGTTCACAGCCAAAGGGACACCTCCAATTCTCTCTTACACAACTTATAATTACCCAAACATAATCCGGGCCTTAACAAGACAGTAAATAGTGGCAAAGATCTTCAGGGCTGTTAATAAGCAGAAGAGAGCCATAATAAGGGGCCGTATACATGATTGGGGTGATTAGTTAGTAGATATAATTATAATTTAGAACGCGCGCGCGGCGGAAACAGTGCGTGCGCATAAATTTACAGAACATTTCAATAATAGTGAGACTCCGCGCGTTACAACTTTTACCTCAACTACTCCCTAGAGACGGACTTACAGAAACGGAACGGAATATGAGGATATGCCATGCTCATCACAGTTTTGAACACTAATTTAAATGCGCTAAATATTATCGTACAAAATATTCAGGTATGTTAAGATTTCCCCGGTGGATATGCGAGGATAATTTCACGTAATTTCAGTAATTCATCACGCGGTTTCAGATGGAATGTGATGAATACATTAGCGGAATTTAATTAGACGTTACCGTGGCACTATAGGCACAGTTTAAGAAAGATG